AGGTTCCACAAGTATCCTTAAGGTTAATGATAAATAATTCTAAAGAATTTTGGCCAGGACCCTTTCTCTTTCAATAGTGTAATGGTATCTTGAGAGTCCACCTGAACAGGCAGAGGATGACACCTCTGACAATGAAACCCTCCTCTGAGGACACAAGATGGGTCTTGAACCCACAGTATTCTGACCAATAGTCTACCAACTGAGCCACCTATTGAGTCTATCTGCAACACCTAGTTATTTCAATGCAAATACCCAAAACTACAGAATCTTATTTAATGATCGAGTCAAAAAAACATACAAAAGTTGTGGAGCTTTCCTTCTGTAGAAAATTGTTAAAATGATGGCCCTGCTAGTTTGGCTGAGCTGGCAACTGCCACAGGCTTTCTAACTTATAAGCAGTTTTTAATCCTTAGGAAGATGAAGCAGTTAATTAAAGAACATGTCAAGATGTTTAGTTCTGCAGAGATTTACTATAGAAGTGATTATTCAGAATTGTTAATGTTGAGTATTCAGATTATTGGAGAAACCCATGTAATTCCCTCCAATCTATGGTCCAGTAAGTAAATGTACTTTGTGATATGCTGTTGATCAGGCTGGTTAGGGTACCAAGTTTGATCATTCATCTATGCAAAACCAGGTTAGCGAGAGGGGCAGATCAAATCTCAGTTTGTCTCATCTGATGATCCCCACCTCCAGCAATGCAGCAGTGCTTCCCCAGCACTGCAGTGCCAAGCTAGACTATAAGCTCAAAGTCCTGAAATGGGGTTAAAAATGCAATAGAATATAAAGACACAGAAATAACCATTATTTATTTTAAAATAAATACATTTGGGATAGAAATAAGTATCTGCAAGGGTGTGGTAACCTTAAAGATTAAAGGCTAGGTGTTCCTTAAAGACTTGAGAGGGAAATTTAGGTATAATAGGGTTGTTATATCGGGTGACTTGAATTATTTGAGGATAAACTGGGAAAATACAATTGAGTGTGGGAAGAATGAAGAGTCTTTCAAAGTCCATTGAAGCCTTTCTTAGAACAATGCATGCCTACTAAAATGTGCTTGATTTGGTGCTGGGCAATGAGCGAGGTAAAGATAGCAGAACCCTTAAGAAAGAGTGATCATAATATGATCAGGTTCACTGTCAAATTGAATAGAGTAAAGGAACCATTACGTTACTGAATTGGACAAGAGCAAATTCCATGGGAATTAAATAGACTTGGTACAGATACATTGGATCGAAAAAAATTTATGATAGCACAGCAGATCAGCAGTGGGGAATATTTAAAGTTGGATTAGATAAGGTACAAGCTAAATACACACCTATCAAAAGTTAAAAGCCGTTGTGAAGGTTGGGCCTCCGTGGATAAATAAGGAAATCAAACATAAAAAATAAACAGCAAAACGGTGGGTAACAGGGAGAGGGCCAATAACATGGAATATAATTGGGAAGTACTTGCTGCAAGTATGGGAGCCAAGGAAAAAATGCTTAGGGAGGCTAAAAAACATTACAAAAAAAGACTGGCAATAAAGATTAAGTATAAAACCAAATGCTTTTGTAATCGCATTAATAGTAAGAGGATAGTCAAGGAAGAAGTGGGGCCACTATTAGTGAGAAGGGTAAGATGGATGGTGACAATTAACTAGTAGCAGAGATGTTTAATACAAAAACAACTTGCATTTATATAGCGCCCTCTATGCAGGATAGGGTCTCAGAGTGCTTAACAGTGGTGGAGCGGAGCTGAACTGAGGGGAGGGGGTGGATGGGCGGGGGGGGGGGGGGATGGTGGCCGTAAGCACGGTCGAAGAGGAAGGTTTTCAGGCAGGTCTTGAAAAAGGGAGAAAGAGGGCAAGGCAGAGGGATTGAGGGAGAGTGTTCCAGAGTTTTGGAGGGTAGTGGCTGAAAACGCGAACTCCGATGGTGGGGCGGAGGGAGCGAGGTACAATCAGGAGGCCGGTGCCAGTTGAGCAGATGCACCAAGTGGTGAATTGGGGAGTGAGGAGGTCGGAGAGATGCAGAAGTGCCAGAGAGTGAAGGGAAAATATCAAATATTTTGCCTCAGTGTTCAAAAAGTAGGGTAAATAATAATCCTTGCATTTGATATAGCGCCTTATCACATCCACGTGACGTCTCAAAGCGCTTCACAGAATATACTGTGAATTGACTGTATATTTTGTGGACGAAACGGGGCAGCCAATTGGATATAATTTGGGATGTTAGTAGGAATGTCAGAATGTAATATAAAGAAATGGATTGTGTATGTAATAACAAAAATAATAACCTTTGCATTCAAATAGCACCATATCACATTGTTGAGCTGTCTTAAAGAGCTTCACGGGATTTTAATGTGAAGTGTAGTGACTGTATATTTGTAGGGAAATGTGGCAGCCTATTTGCACACAGCAATGTTCCACAAATAACTATGACGGAATAGATAAGCGAAGGGCGTGACTAAATTATACACACGCTGCCCCAAATGGCCACTCAGCATATTACAGCATATTTGGGCTTCATGTTTCTAAGACCATGGAAAAAAATATAATAATTCTTGCATTTGATATAGCATTTATCACTGAGATATCTCAAAGCACTTCACAAGTTTTTAGTATAAAGATATAGTGACCATGTATTAGTAGGCAAACACAGCAGCCAATTTGCACACAACGTCTCACAAATAGCCATTAGGTAAATTATCAATTTTGATTGGGGGATTGTTGTCTGACACATCATGAGAAACTCCCTTCTCTTTTTGAATAGTACTAGCATATACCTGAATAAGCAAACAGGATCTCAGTTTAACATACCATCTGAAAGGCAGCACATTCAGCAATGCACTGGAGTCTTAAGCTCAGTGGTTAGAGCACTCGCCTTGCAAGCGAGAGACCTGAGTTCAATTCCAGGCAGGGCGAAACCTTGGGCAAGTTTCCTTACTGCACACGCCTAATAATAATCCCTCCAAAACAAAACAATAATAAATTGGTCATTTTCAATCTACGACTGTCTGTGAGACATTGCTGTGTGCAATTGGCTGCCGCATCCGCCCACAAATATACAGTCAATTCACTTTACAGTGTGTTCTGTGAAGCGCTTTGGGACGTCCTCCCGACGTGAAAAGCTCTACATCAAATGCAAGGATTATTATTATTATTAAGCTAGACTATTTGTTCAAAATCCCCAAGTATTTAACTTACAACCCTCTGACTCAGAGGCAAGAATGCTACCACCTGAGCCGGGAAACAAAAAGAAAAAAAAGCTAAACATCCCAGATCACACAGAAACATGTCATTCGGGCAGTATATCATTGCAGCAAATGGTGACATGCTGCTTTTGCAGTTCTCACCACGCCTGAAATAAGTTTGCCTAAACATTTTCGTGAAGACAACGCCTCTATAAAGAGCTCTCTCTCGTGAGAAAGAGCCCGAGGTAATGTATGAGAACACCTACTGCTTAATCAGAATACGCTGTTCTGTTCTCTCTAACAGGACTCCCCAGAACAAATAAAAACATAATTTTGAACATTATTCATCCTTCACAGGTCAGGTATCTCAGCCCTAATACATGATGCTAATGAAAAGTGATTACTACAGCGAATCAAAATCCACTATAACACAACTTGCTCTTATTTAGCACCCTTCTCATAGTGTAACATCTCGGAATGCTTTTCAGGTTGGAGGGGAGGCATTAGGGTTCACTATGTACTGAACTCTTATACCAACCAACATTCACAAAGTTTCCTCACTGGTTCAAGAGATACAGTGTAAAAGTTTGCTCCAAGTGCCTGTAGGTTTTACATGTGGAATTTAAGGAATGCTTATTCAAGGTGCAGGCAATCTGCACTCGCCTGTACAGAAGGCTCTACAGAATAAAGTCACAATACGAATAAGAAAAACTTAAAAATACATGTCCTCTGCATAACTGTGCACTGTGAGTATTTGCTTGACAGTTTTCATCTTGACAAGAAATAATGAAGCTGCCTATGCTCAACACAACGTTCACAAATACATTCCAACAGTAGAGTGATCAGGACAGGAACCCTGGCCAATTTCTGTTCTCTCCAGCCCGAGGCTACTTGTAGCACCATCACAGCTGCCTCCAACAAGGCCTGCTATCTCAAAGCTTTCACAGTTTGGGTGTCAGTATCAGACTACACCATGATGCACTGACCCAAGGCCCATTGGGGGAGCGACAGGTAAATGAGTTTCAACCTTTTAATTTTGATGTCCGGTTTACAAAAGGAAATAATCTGCAGCACTCAGTCATGGTGTTGCCAAATGTACCATTGGGGGAACCCATTATACATCTTGAAAGTTGGAACAAGTTACAAACGAAAGCATATTTCAATGATACTAGCTTACATAGATAAAAGTAAAATAATACAATATAATTTACATTTATTTATATATAGAGTCTTTCATGTCATGTTGGGAAGATGTCTCAAAGCACTTGCCACTGGCTGGGGGGTGGGAGCTGAAGGGGGTGTAAGGGGGTGGGGCAAAGCTGGAGGGAAAAACAGTGAAGGTTAGTGGATATCTGTCTAACTCAGGTCATCAAGGACTGCTTCACCATTTCATGCCAAGATGAAAACTCTCAAACAAATACTCTCAGTGCACAGTTATGCAGAGGACATGTATTTTCAAGTTCGGCTTCTCATCTGTGAAGCAAGATGCGCAAAGTATTTCTGGAAAGGGTCCTGGGGCTTCCTTTCATGCCATTCTCAAACCAATGCCTGCCATAACAAACCACAATTTGTTATGAAAAAAAGACTAACTGTGAGCTCAAACTGCAGAGTTCCAACCAAAGAGATTTAATTGCATTAGAAATACAATGATTAAAAAGATAATTATTAGAAATCTACATAAAAGCAAGCACTTTGGAGGGTCAGAATTTGTTTTTTAGAAATCAAAATCATTACAACAAAAATTTGCTATTATTGATTCACATAGACTTACTTAATCATCTTAATAAGTATTTATGTAATTGGGCATTATTTAGAAGGCTACTTACCAATATCAAGGACCCTCTGTTTGGCAGTGTGCTGACGTGAATGCCAGTATTTCCAATACTTCAACTGCTCATCTCGGTTCTTATCTTCACTGAATACCACCATTATTACACTCTGCAGAAGGGGATTGTTCAGGTTATATTTCTTTCATCACATCTTTCAATGAAGTTAAACAATGTCATATGTGAAACAACCTCAACCACCATTCCTTGCAACCTGGTCTAGTCATTAACTACCTTTTGGGTAAAGAAATACTTCCTGGTACATGCCCTGAAATTGTCCTTTACTACTCTAACCCTATATTCTCTTGTTCTACTGTCCTGATGTACAACAACAGCAACAAGATTTCATTTATAGAACGCCTTTCATGTCGGGAGGACGTCCCAAGGCGCTGGACAGTTGGGTCAGGACCTGAGCAGGGGGAAAATGGTCAGGGTGAGGGGAGAGAAGGGAGGGAGCGAGGAGGGGGTAGAGAGTCGAGAGAGGAGCTGAAGGCACGGTCGAAGAGAAAGGTCTTGAGACTGGCCTTGAAGGAGGAAAGGGAGGAAGCAAGGCAAAGGCACTGGGGGATGGAGTTCCACAGCCTAGGGGCTGAAGGCCCGGCCACCGATGGTAGGGCGGTTGTGGTGGGGGATGTGGAGCAGACTGGAGCCAGAGGAATGGAGGGTACGGGTAGTTAAGTAGGGGGATAGTAGGTCGGAGAGGTACGAGGGAGCAAGGCTGTGAATGGCCTTGTAGGCAAGGATGAGGATCTTGAATTCGATCATCTGGGAATACAACTGAAGAGTTGTAGCTGGTGTAATTATTGCTCATAGATCATCCTCTAACATTAGGGATTTTCGTTGCTCTGGGCATCACGGTAACCAGAACTGTATTCAGTAATGCAGGTTTGGCATGACCAGAGCTCGAGTATAACTTCTAGGGATTTGAACTCACAATATAACCCAGCTTCTTGTTTGATGAGCAATCCTTTTAGAATATTTCCTGATGTGTTTTGTGAAAGAGCCAGCTCAGATGTGGGAGGCAGAGAGTTGGCCTGTTTCTGAAACTCTACTGAGTACAAGGGAGAAACGTTTGATTGACCAAAGCAACTCACCGCTCACAAAAAATCGCAGACCAATTACTTACAAATGTTGGCACTCCCAAAATGGCTCAGAGCCACTGTGCGAGTAGTCGGGATGGAAACTATCAGTGAACTTTATATCACACTGACTATGGTGCAATGTTACAGGTGAGTGGCGGAATTGGTCTCCTAATCTCCTGCTTATTTGTTTTTAAATGGTTTTAAATTAATGGCAGTAACAATCTATGAGAAAATGTATGAGATGGAGGCTCATTCAGTTTTCCTTACCGAACAAGGAATTTAGCACCAAAGTCCAGCTAGCTTGATTCAGGACAATTCTAGCACCCCTGCGGTCATACTGGCCAAGATCTGTAAAGCAACTTGGGCGATTGATTCGCGCAAAATATTTATTTCACATGAATCAAACCATTAAGACTTTGTTTGAAAGAGTTGCTTCTGCCTCCTCTTTTTGTTTTAGAAAGGGTCCGTACACTGCTTGGAAGAAACAATTCCATTATAAATTATTTCCTCAAAAGCAAATAATCAAGAACGATAAATTGAAAACAAAACAAGCAGGGTAGCATCCCGGAGCACTTAACAGTGGTGGGCAGAGCTTGGGAGAGGGGGAAGGTGAACATAGGCATGGTCGAAGAGGAAGATCTTCAGGAGTGATCTAAAGACAGCAAGGGGGAGGTAAGTCAGAAGGACTGAGGCAGAGAACTTCATAGTGTTGAGGTGTTGTGACATAAGAATTGGCAGCAAAAGTTGCCATCTTCAGGAGCGCAGGAAGAAGAAAGGGAAAACCTGAAGAATGGAATAATAAGGGTCTAAATTCTATTTAAAATAATTTTCATTATTTACAATCCTCAAATCACCAAAAAACCTCTTCAAGGACATTATAATCTGCAAACACATAATGTCCATTTGTGAATGGAACATAATAGAGAGCCCTTGTGAGCTGCGTGGATGTCTGGCCAGTTCTGTTTGATATCAGTGAGTTTAAGAGAAAGAAGTCACCGTACCCTAACTTTGGTGATTGGGTGGCGAAGGCATTTATTGGCTCCAGTCTCCCTGAGTGTTATGGCGTAAAACTGTCCTTTATTCAGGTAGGTCATAGGGCCCTCCCCCTGCTTCTGTCGTAGCGATTTTGTGGCCTCCAACATGTACTGGAAGGAATCTCTGGAAGAAAATTAAAGAGCGAGGGGAGCGGTAAGAAATAGCAAGTAAACAGTTTAATCAGAGAAAAATATGGAGAATGACAAATCTTTTCAGTGTTATTGTAAATTCTGCTTCAATAAAATGTTTTACATGGTTTACACTGTATAATAATAATAATCCTTGCATTTGATATAGCGCTTTTCACAGCTTCTAGATGTTTCAAAGCGCTTCGCAGAATAGAGTGTAAAGTGAATTGACTGTATATTTATGGGCCAAATGCAGGCGCACAGCAGTGTCCTACAGAGAGTCATGGATTGAAATAATCAATTTTTTTTTTGAGGGATTATTAGGTGTGTGGAGTAAGGAAACTTGCCCAAGGTTTCACCCTGCCAGGAATTGAACCCAGGTATCTCGCTTGCAAAGTAAGTGCTCTAACCACCGAGCTACAGGACTCCACAAGGCTTGTTATGGGACATCGTTGTGTGAAAATTGGAAGCTGTGTTCACCTACAAATAATAATAATCCTTGCATATAGACAGGCGGAAACATTTGACATTTGTGAATTACTGTGCAGCTTGAGAATAGGAAGACACTTTCTCTCATCTTAATATGCCAGGATTTGAACCCAGGTATCTCGCTTGCAAAGCGAGAGCTCTAACCACTGAGCTACAGGACTCCACTGTACTACAAATACTTCAAACGACCAATATGACAACAATTAGTTATGTTTCCCCTACAAAATATGCATTCAAAACACTTCACAATAAATCTTGTGAAGTGCTTTGAGATATACCCCTGACGTGAAAAGTGCAAATGTAAAGATTTTCACTCCATGGTCGTGGACTGCCTCAGCTTGTCAGAGCAAGCAACCAGAGAGAAAAGAGAAACAGAAAGTGGTTTATTCTTGTCTATTACTGTCTGGAATTCTTGAGTCCTCCTGTTACTCTTCACCCACGCCATTGATCAGTTGTGGAACATGTGTAACAAGGAGAAGAAAATGCCAGGGAAAGATTGGCCACAAGCAAGCTTTTTTAGGGAACCTCTGGCCCTTTTCCAAAATGCATAATGTAAGGACAACAAGATCTCTTCTCTGGGAATCATCACCTCTGGGAGGAAGAGGATGAATGCAGGAGTGGGAGGAAAGGGAACATTCTATAGCTGGTCCTCCATAGGAGATCAGTCCTATGAACCTGTAGGACAGTAAGCAGGGTCTCCTTGGAGCAGTCACTGGAGGCAGGGAGTCATCCCACTCAGCTCCCATTATCCCTGCAAGCCAAAGCCGTAATAGGGAGGGTGGTTCTAGCTGGAAAATTAATGGGAAAGCTTGCCAGACAGCAATATCAATGGCAGTCTATGTGGTTTTAACTGGTTAGACTTCAGCAATACACCAGCGCAACTTTGCCACCGCCCCCCCCCACCCCAAAAACAAATCTACGACACCTACTCAACTTGAGAAAACATGAACTTCAAACGTCATCCTGACATAAAAGGCAGTACATAAATGTAAATTGTATTGTATTTAATAAACACAAAAGATTTGATGGTAGTGAGTCAATTCGTTAATAATTATTTTGTAATGTCAGATTGAATAAGAATGTGCTTAGATTGTCATTTCATAACTATAACATGTGAAGTACAGTTTGGTATACAAGTGCAAATTTCTTGGATTTCAATAGTGTTGTGTGTCAGTGTCAGCATATTCCAGAGGGAGCAGGACAGTTTCTTGTTGAAGGAAAACAATTGAAAGACATAAGAGAAGCATATGGCATTCTTAAGGACCCCAAAATGATCTTTGCTGGGCCCTTTATATCCACATGTTCCAAAGCAGTAGTGAATAGAGAAACTACCTTTCAATCTGTACATAGTGCTGCCATATACAAATTAGTGAGCAATATACATATTCTTACCCTCCTGTTTGCTCATAGATGAATTCTTCTGCTCCCAACGATGGGCTGCGATACTTCTGCAATACAAGAGATGCCACATTAGTGGCACATTTCTAAAGTTGAAAGGTAACAAAACATTTCGGGACTGGAGTGAAAGGCAAACTGTTTTCCTAGCTGTCTATTAGCTAACAGATGGGGCAGATTTAACACTGCTACCTCTCAGCTCTTCAGTCAAAAAGGTGTGAAAACGCATAATATAAGGATAACAAGATGTCACTCCAACACCCCCTCAGCTCCGGTGCCCAGCCAGAATTATCAAGCACTTTGGAACATCCGGTGGGGACAAGGGAATGTTTCAGCTGATATATACTTGTTTTTCTTACACCATTAATAACACCACCACCTTTGAAGGTTAAGAGGTGACCTGATAGAGGTCTTCAAAGTTCAAAAGGGTTATGGCAAAAAATGATCAAACTGAAATGTTAGCTTACTTTCCTCTCTCCATAGATGCTGCCTGATGTGCTGCATGTTCCCAGTGACTTCTGTTTTTATTTCAGATTTCCATCTGCAGTATTTTACCTTTTATACGTTAGCTTGGGTTTACCTTGGGGACAGATCTCCCAAAAATGGCTAACCTGGTGAGTGGGACATTGGATTAAACAGATTGTGGCCGATGCTGACAACCTATCTGGGGCGGGGGGCTGCTGATTGACAGATCTCCCTCTTCTCTCCACACAGTCAGTAGAAGTCAGACCAAAGGCTAAAAGGCAAACTGGCTCCAAGGCAAGGGCCAGGCCCTATCAAGCTAACAATCTATTTCCTGGTCTGACCCAGCAGCTCAGGGAAAGTTATTGAGTTTTCCCTCTTCAAATTTACTCCCCACAGAAAGCACAGTCCTCCTACAGCTTCTGGGTTTCTGTTGCTCAGACTGATGCTCACTACATCAGTTGCAGCCCTTCATGGTTCAGTTCGCCCCCCGTGTCTTTGCCAATAGTGAACCAGTCACTGATCTGCTTGACTATGCACTGTTAACTTCACAATCATGACCAGCCTCCCACCACAAGCAGCTGCAACGTGGCTTAGAGCAGGTGAACTATAAAGAGTGAATAATGGAAAAATGAGAGGTAGAAAACAGAGGAGAGAGAGAAAGAGCGAGGAAACATGTCACTGTGAGAAAAATAGGAAAGAGAGAGAAATTTATAGATGAGAGGAAAGCCTGTGAGAGGAAATGGTGAGATGGCCAGGACACCAATAACAACAACAAATTACACTTGTATAGGGCCTTTCACGTCGGAAAGATGTCCCAGGGCACTGGACAATCAGGGGTTTTGAACCTGAGCTGGGAGCTGGGGTCAGAAGGGGAGGGGACAAGGGGTGGGAGGGTGGCCAAAGGCACGATTGAAGAAAGGTCTACAGACAGGACTTGAAGGAGGGGGTGAGGCAGAGGGATTGTGGGTTAGAGTTCTAGAGTGTGGGGGCAAAGATGCTGAATGCCCGACCACCAATGGTGGGGCAGGGAGTGCGGGAGACCTGAAGCAGTGTGTCCACCGAACAGAGGGAGTGGACAGGCTAATATTGGGTTAGGAGGTAGGAGAGGTTGGGGAGAGCAAGACCGTGGCGGGCCTTGAAGGTAAGAATGAGGGTTTTGTACTTGTTTCGCTGAGGAATGAGGAGCCAGTGAAGCCGGGCAAGTCGGGGGTGATAGGTTCCCGGAGCTTGGTGCAGGAGAGGACACGAGCTGCAGAGTTCTGAATAATCTGAAGCTTGTGGAGGGAAGAGTTGGGAAGTCCAGCGAGCAGGTGGTTGCTCAGGCCAGGACGTAATGAAAGCATGGATCAGGGTCTCGGTGGCCTGCGGTGAGAGGCAGTGGCAGGAAATGTTGCGGAGGTGTAGAACGGTGGAACGGGTCACAGCATGAATGTGGGGCTTGAAGAATAGCTGAGGGTTGAAAAGGACACCAAGATGTCGGATTGGCTCGGTGAGGTGAAGAGTACAATCATGAATGGTGATAGTGTCAGCGGCTGAGGTGCGGAGGCGCTGCCAGGAGCCAAGCAGGAGGGCCTCTGCATTGCCAACATTTGAGCTGGAGCAAATTGGCTCTCGTTCAGGACTTGATGTCAGACAGACAATTAGCCAGGATATCAATGGACCTGGAGTCCAGGCTGGAGGTGGCGAGATAAAGTTGGGTGTCATCCACATACATGTGGAAATTGACCCCATGCCTGTGGATGACATCGCCGAGCAGGAGCGCGTATAGATTGTAGAGGAGAGGACCGAGGACGGAGTCCTGAGGGATGCCGCATGTGACAGTGCGGGGGTTAGAGGAAAAGCCGTGGTGGCCACGAAGTGCAGATGGTGGGAAAGGTAGAATTGGAACCAGGTAAGAAGAGAACCATTGAAGTGGAGGTGAGAGGAGAGGCGGTTGAGAAGAATCAAGTGGAATAGAATAACTCCATAGACTGATAGTTGCAGCTTAGAATCCTGGTGAATCAGGAGTTAACTGGTTGCTTTCCAGAGGTGCCTCCTGGAAGATGCACAAATGAATTTTTGACGAGTAATAATATTTGGTATAGGGCATTTAATGTTGGGAGGTCATCTCAAAGTGCTTCACAGAATTTACTGTAAAGTGCAGTAACTGTGTTTTGTGGGAACACAGAATTGGGTTCATGGTGAATCGCCAGTCAACATTCACTGTGACGAATCACATATGACTAATGGGTCACTTGGATGAAGTACTGCACCATACATCAGAAGAAAGAAATCGAAAGCTTTCAGTATAGGAGGAAGGCAGTGGAAAAAAAAGGAAGAGCAAAAATTGGCCAAGAAAACACAGGATATAGTCACCCATACAGCCATTATGGAGCCTTGGAAAAATGTACATTTTTCAATGTCATTTCCTCGAGACAATTCCCATTACACTACTGTTTTACGTTAAACTTACTCTTCATCAACTGTACAAGAAACACCCAGGTGGAAAGAATTTGCTGAGGTGCTGGAAGCAGATTTAGGAAGCACAATGCGTTAGTCACGCTCAAGGAATCAGAAGCATATCACACTAGTAGCAGCACAGAAGGAACAGCCAGGTTAATTATGTCCCATGGTAGAGTGCATTTAAACAAAACAATTCTGTCCAGTACTGATCCATGACTGTGCGAACGTACCTTCAAGAGGAAGTCAAACCCATTCAGAAAAATCCGTTATGGTTTCCCCGTAAACCAAATCCTCTGCCAGTGATCTCAGCTCTGTAGCTGGATGATGCAGAAAGTCACTTCGTCACACTGTAGGTTTCTCACCACCCAGCAGGAACATTTTCCCTCTCTGGTCACAGGTGGATTTCAGACAGGTTTCCCAGTTACAACAGTACCAAATGGAACTCAATGAACAAGAATATAATTTGTTTTTGTCAGCTGGGAGTCTGACATGTGTGGAAACCCATCACCATGGTTAAGAGTATCCAAACCAAACTGCGAATTCCATGCATCCCACCTATGCATGGAAATTCCAGAGATAAGATTGTTGAAATGAAAACTCTCTCCCTGGAAGGACACATCCTGCTTATCTATAATCCATAAAGCATGAGATGCAGGTTGGCAAGAGCTAAGGCTTGGGGACCCCAGTGTGCATTGGGTACTGTTGGAGTCTAACCAGCTTAAAAACACATAGCTTGCCTTTGATATCGCTGTCTGGCAAGCTTTCCTGCTGCTTGTCCAGCTAAGACAACCCTTCCCATTAGAGTTATGGCTTGCATAGTTAAGGAGCTGAGTGTGTGGATTCCCAGCCCCCATTGAATACAAGGGTATAGAGTACAATATCAAGTTTCTCAAATAGCACATTCCAACAGCCTATTTCTTCCACACCTCTGACCCCACACCCACCAGTGAAATGTGATGTACTTCACCCCATACAATAATGTTACAGAACAGAAATAGGGCTGTTGTAATACAGTTCCATGGCACATAACAAGGAGCCTAGACAGAGTGCCAAAATAAAGCATTTTGGTTGTAAGACTAGGGAAGGTACACCTTAAATCATAAGATTTTAAATGGAAGAGAAAGCTAGATGGATCAGAAGGTATAGACTAAAAAGGCAAGAAGGTAATGTTAAACTTGAGAGACCTGAGTTCAATTCCAGACAGGGCGAAAACTTGGGCAAGTTTCCTTACTCCACACGCCTAATAATAATCCCTCCAAAAAAAACATAATAAATTGGTCATTTTCAATCTACGACTGTTTGTGGGACATTGCTGTGCGCAATTGGCTGCCTCGTTCGCCCACAAATATACGGTCAATTCACTTTACAGTATATTCTGTGAAGCACTTTGGGACGTCTAGAAGACGTGAAAAGCGCTATATCAAATGCAAGGATTATTATTATTATAACTTATACAAAATTTTAAGACCACAGTTAGAATATCATGTACAGGTTTGCGCATCCTACAACAGAAAAGTCCAGGTTTGTGAACACACGTTCATATATCCGGCACAGACATGATGGGCCGAATGGCCTCCTTCTATGCTGTATAATTCTCTGATTCTATGATCCAGGGCTTTGAATTCACCTTGGTTTAGTATGCAGGGAGGTGCTGTTCAAACTCCGCATCTCCAACTGGTGGAACCATCGCTCAATGGGAAGAGATGTGCGCCTGAGCTGTGCGTAGGAGGATGGTGGCATTTCATACTGAGCTGTGCTGCTCACCAGGAATCTCACAGGTTGTTCTTGGTGCCTGCCATCCACTTATTCAGGGCTCAAACCTACTCTTATTGATGATCAAATGATCAACTAGTGACTATCCTCCCGGGGGGGAGGGACAGTGTAAGCAGGATCTTCTTGGGACTGAACTGGCTTGAAGATGATGTGTTTTGACCACAAAATGTTGAAATTTAGGCAACCCTCAGGCATTTTCACTAGTCAGTACCTGAGGCACGCAGATCCGCAGTATTCCAGGGCGCTGCTATTGACAGCCCAGCCAGCCTAGCTCATTAGCAGGACCTGAAGGGGGACTGGAGGCAAGAATTATTCCCACTCAGCTCCTGGTAACTCTGAAAACCGAAAGCCTAGGGTGGTCCTAGCTGGACAAGCAGCAGGAAAGTTGCCAGACAGTGCTCTAAATGACAAGCTAAGTGGTTTTAGCTGGTTAAACTCCAGCAATATCCCATCGCACACTCTGGGGTCCCCAAGCCTTAGCTCTTGAAATTCAGTATTGGCAAAATGTGAGACTGCAGAAAGTGGAAGTGAAAACAGAATTAGATACAGTTACGATCCTGCTCTCCGCATCCCACACAGCTTGCAGGAACTTATTGTCTGTGTTTACACACGATTACAAGAGGAAGCCAAACCCTTGAAACCATATGCTGCCATCAATCATTGGCTTAGGATAGGAGAAAATGAATATGGAAAGCCAGCCCACAAACAAACTTAGTGAACGTCAAGATCAGACTTACAGGCTGATCATTCCACCGTTGAGAATAAGGAGCAACATCCTCCAGTTATAAAGATATCTGCAGCGTGGCTGTGCAGATGTATTGTATCCCATAACATCCACTCCATTTTTAATATCGGCCTGAAATAATTTCTCCTTTTATAAACCATCCAAATGGTCCTTTTGAACAAATATTTCTAGCAGAATATTTTACCCAGGATGTAACCATAGTTGTATTCTCAACCAAACAATGATCCAAATGGCAAGCTATGTGGTTTTATTTAGTTAAACTTGAGCAGTGCTCCAACGCAAACTCGGGGGTTCCCATGCCTTGGCTCTTGTCAACCTACCGAATATTATTTGGAATTAGATAAGTAGGATGCATCCCTCCAGAAAGAGTGTGACATACATATGTAGTTTCCTTACTCTTAAGCATATTAGGATGGACTTCTAAATGTGCGAGACACTCTGAGTGGTGTGTGGCTGATTCCACCACATGCCCCTGAGAGGATTCCTGCAGTTCTTAACAAGAACTTCTAAATTAAAAGTGAATTTAAGAATTTTCCAAAATTTTAATAATACTGCTGCAGTGAGCTGTATGCAGAGTATTAGGTGCAGGGTTGTGAATCCACGCTGTGTAACAGCTTACCTCTGTCATTCCATCCTTAAACGTTTCACTGTAGGTGCTGTCAGGTGAGCTGCGTTGGTCATCTTTGGGGTAGTTGCTGTGTGTCACCGTGAGCACCTCATATTGATTGTTACTCAGACTCTGCTCGAAGATTACAGCTCTTTGCTCATCGCTTTCAGCTCCTCTGTAATGCACTGAAGGGGGCAGGAGCGCAGAGTAGTTTCCAGGGTAAGCCTCGGTTTTGATGCTCACCACAGCCACCCCTGCAACCGACACTGGCGTGTTCGGGGCTGCACTTGGACCATATGCTTCCCTCTTAGAAACATCTAGATGTTCTGGATGCAAAGACAGATTCACTGGAAGCGACTTCAGAACTTGAACTCGGTTGTCCTGCACTTCAAGATCAGCCTGGTTATCAGATGCTCCGAGGCAATTCCTATTAGATTCAAGTGGTAAAGAAACAGATGATCAGCATTATCAAACCCACATTTTGCCCACAAAATATACAGTCAATTCACTTTACAGTGTATTCTGTGAAGCACTTTGAGACGTCTCGAGATGTGAAAAGCACTATATCAAATGCAAGGATTATTATTAGTTAGTTAAACTGCCCGTGTTTATAACTAGCTAAAATCACATAGCTTGCCATTTAGAGCACTGTCTGGTTGAGAACAACATCCTGGGTAAAATATTCAGTTAGAAATATTTGTTCAAAAGGACCGGTTGGACAATTTATAAAAGGAGGAATTATTTCAGGTTAATATACAAATAGTGTGAACGTCATGCAATAAAATCTATCTGCAATTACAGGCATGCCCAGTCACCTGGCAACCAGTAATAGAAAGTGACTGAATGTTCATGGTGCAAAATATCCATATACCCTTTTAGCTTTGGATCTCCAAATTGAAAAGGAACATATGATGGCACCATACGCTGTGCATATGCTCGAGGCTTCGGATGGACATTAAAATACCAATTGCATTCAAAAAGAGAAAGGAGTTTTTCTCTGTATCCTGGCCAACAATCCTCCAAATAAAATTCACTATTCACTCCATGGCTGTTTGTTGGATATTGTTGTGTGAACCTGGTTGCCTCGTTTCACCCACAAAAATACATTCAATCCACTTTACAGTATATACTATGAACTGCTTTAAGACGTCTCGATGACATAATAAGATGCTATATCAAAGCTCAAAGATTACTGTTATTCATATGGTTTGCGGGAAAATGTTGTAAAAATTGGCTGCCATTTCTTTGCCTATAAATACAGTCAATATAAAAATCCTATAAAGCTCTTTGAGATGTCTCAATGATATGATAATCCACCATATCAAAATTTAAGGATATTATTATTATATTATTTCTGATCCGTGCTAACTAAAACAGCAGAGCAAAGAAAGCCCGGGAGAAAGTCACCTAATATTTAAGTATATCTCTTGATCTGTATTACAATTTCAGAGTAAGGCAATTTGGAAAACAACAATCAAATACAATGCATGATTTTATCCTGCTATTTGTGCAATCAGAGAAAAAAAAAACCCCAGAAAACTGTCATCTTCTAAGTGCAGCCGCACTATGTTTTAATATTTGGCTATCCAGATGTCCAGTACAAATTCAGCATTTTTCTAGGTTTAAGCCATCACACACTGGCCCACAAAGAGACAGAGACAACTAGTCAGATACATGAAACCAACAACAACAACATGCCTTTATGTGCTTAGAACCAGTTTTCTCATGTGAATGGATGCCTCAATGCTAAACCAGTCATCATGCCCATAGGCACAGGGGAGGTCAATGCATTCCATATTCTCACGAGCCACTGTCTAAAGGGTTTTCTCATCTTACTTCTAACCATCATTGCTCCAATTTTAAGACACATCCCCTTGTTTTGCATCTTTCTACCAGAGGGAAGAGTTATCCTTCCTTCATTACTTCAAACACCTTAACACACCTTTCGCATACAGTATATTCTGTGAAGTGCTTTGAGACGTCTCAAAGACCTAATTAGGCACTATATCAAATGCAAGCATTATTATTGTTGAATAATCAGATCAACCCTCAACATCCTCAGCTATGAGATAAGTGAGCCATAGGGTAGAAAGTTTACATTTTAATAATAAATTAAGTAATACTTTTTCAATTGAATATGTAGCTCACTAAACTGTAAACCATACATTGAAATTGCAGTTCCGTGCTTATCAGGATGAACTGATGGGAATGCACCGCAAATGTGAATAAGGGCTTTAAAGTCCTTGGCTTGATCCTCTGATAGCTTTCATTTGACTGCAGTCATTGAAGGCCATTAAAGCCATCATTAACACATTTTGAGAACAAACAGACTGGTAACGAAGAGACAATGTTGCACTCACTGCATTGAGTACTTAGTAAGGTAGTATGAACTGATTTTATTCAGGCTGTTGAATGTCTGCTAACATATCACTTCAAGGTGTGAAAGGACTGATCCCAGTACAGGGAGAACATACATTCACCTTGAATTCTGTTGTTTTTAAGATGGATGCATTTAAATGACTCAAAACAACAGCAACTTCCAGTAGATTTCTGGATATATAGTGAGACAAAGGACAGAGTCTTGCATATTTTCACCCGGAGGGTTTGGTCCATCCTCTGTATTGTGTAATCTGATGGGGGTGGGGGCAGAAGTAGGGCCATTATTGACTTTGTATCACTGGAGTTTTTAGGATAGAACCTGTGTTGCCACGGGAAAGCACTGAAGTGATAGAGAGGTAACAATGACACATGGCACCAGAAGACAAAATTGATCGTTCACTTCCTGGCTTTGTGGGACATTACTGCTCACAGATTAGCTGTCATATTTGCTTACAAATTACTCAGTCACTGCACATTACAGTGAAATCCACAATCCAACAACAATAACTTGCATTTATATAGCACTCTTTACTCAGGGTAGCATCCCAGAGCATTTTGCCCACAAAATATACAGTCAGTTCACTTTACAGTATATTCTGTGAAGCACTTTGAGACATCTCAGAACAAATCTGCAGAAACACTACTTTGGTGAGCGAATAGTAAACGTATGGAACAGGCATCCTAGGGAAATGACGGAAGCAAAAAAACATGTTGAATCTTTTAAGAACAATTAGATTTCTGTTAGGAAATAGTATCTCGGGATACAATACATAGTTTGGGACACGACCATATGCATGCGACTGCCAGGATGGTAGGAGGCGAACTGGACAGAACTTGGTTTTCTTTCGCCTAGCAAATTCCTAGGTGAAATTCCTGTTCTTATGTTTCAACGACATGATAAGGCGCTACATCAAATACAAGGATTATTATTAAATCTTGTGAAGAACTCTGAGATGTCCCTCCTGACTTGAAAGGCACAAAACGAAATGCAAGTATTATTATTATCAACATGCTACATACACAATGACAGTGGCGTTGTACTCCACCACTGTCAAGCATTCTGGGACCCTACCCTGCATGAGGGAAGCCATATAAATGCAAGTTGTTGTTAATATACTTCCAGAATGATAAATGAAACTGCATTTCCTGACTCAAATAACAGTGGGGTGGGGATCCAAAAGGCTACCACTATCATCATTTAGGGAAACGATCAATTAGGCAAACAACTGTAAAACTTTCCACAAAGGAATGTGGAATTAATCCAATGTGCTTGTATTTCATTCCCGCCTCCAAGGAAAATGTAACTTAAACAGAGAATGATGAAAGTCGAAGTGGACAAGTCACCAGGAAATATTTTGGTCTGGTACATTAGGAAAACCTTCGTCAGATCCAGGATTTACTGGAAAGTGTAGTGACTGAGTATTTTGGCAGCCAATTTACGCTTTACGCACAGTAACATCCCATAAACAGCCAAGAAATGAATGACCATTTAGGGAATGGTTGGGCAAGACATTGGGAGGAACTCCCTTCTCTTTTTGAATCGTCCTCTTGAACAGGCAGACAGGACCTCAGTTTTACATCTCATCTGAAGGACAGTTCTCTGACAATGCAGCACACCACCAGCATTGCACTGGATTGTCAGTATTGATTGTAAATTCAAAATCTCAGCACAAGGCTTAAACCCATAACTTCCAGACACAGAGGCAAGAGTACTACCAACTGATCCAGGCTGACATGCACAAAAAGCATATCAAAAAATGTCTTGTAATGCAGACATCCCTTGGTGATATGGTTATTGTGACATGAATTACTCATGGAATCCAAGAAGCCACTTGTACATCGTTCTCCTCTCACCTGCTCGTCCTCTTTGTTTTCAGGAAACGTGAGATATTTGGTGAATAATGGAAGGTTGCACTGACCACCCAAAGGTTGCAGCCATTACACAAAGCAGTGTACATCTCTGTAACATTCCAGCTCAGGAATGCTAATCCCCCCCTCTCCTCCCCACACACCCAACCACCCACACACAAACCTTCCCAAAGATTCTGAGAATGATAAAGGTACCTTTTTTCTTGTTCGTCCTGCACATCAGCTACTTTACCTATTGGCAACAGTCGCTTATCCCTGGGAACCTGACAACCACAAAACCCACAAGTGTGAGAACAATGTAAAGCTGGTTCAACATGGACAATGAGCTGAAATAGGCGAGATCTTATTTATGCGCATACAAACCTTGTAATAATCATAAAGCAATCCCAAGGCTGCGGCACTGTCTTCATCTCCATTGATGCTCATCATTGCTTTTGTGGCAGCTGTCAAAGGATTTTCAAGGTAGGATTTCCAGGCCTCGTCTTCACTTGTATAAGCACGTCTGGGATGGAAGTTTGAATCATTCTGTAGAACCACCACCAAGCGCTTGCTGAGGGAAGAAAAATGGGCTTAAATTATTATTAGTGTAAACACAGAACAAATGAATAGTCAGTTGATAAGCTGCACAGTGCAATGGCTCTGCTCTGAAGCAAAGCACATATACTTGTGAAAAGAGGCAAACACCTTCCAATCATATGTCTTCTTCATTCAAAACTAAAGAAGGTTTATTATTTTAACTTTCTTTTAAAGTAAGGAAGTTAGATGAAGATCCAGAGTGCATAGAGCACCATCAAGTTTGAAAACAGCAAATGCAACTTACATTTAAATAGCATCCTTCACCTGCGGTAGTGACACAAAGCGCTTAATAATGGCGGAACCTGAAGCTGAGCCAAGGGGACAGAGAGGTGACTATAGGCATGGTTAAAAACAATGAGAGAAGAGTGCGCAATGAGAGAGAGGAGTGGGAGTGTAATCCTTGCATTTGATATAGCGCCTTATCTACCTCACCCATCAGGCCGCTGAAACTCCTGTTCATGCCTTCATCACCTCCAGACTCGACTATGCAAACGCCCTGCTTGTTGGCCTTCCCAACTCCTCCCTCCACAGGCTGCAGATAATCCAGAACTCTGCAGCCCGTGTCCTCTCCCGCACGAAACTCTGTGACCCCATCTCCCCCACTCTCGCCCGACTCCACTGGCTCCCTATCCTTCAGAGGATCCAGTTCAAGATCCTGGTCCTCACATACAAAGCCCTCCATGGCCTCGCCCCACCCTACCTCTGTGACCTCCTAACCCCCTGCCAACCCGCCTGTTCCCTCCGCTCAGCCGGCTCTGGCCTACTCCACGTCCCCTGACCCACCCGCCTCACCATTGGTGGGAGAGCCTTCAGCCACTCTGCCCCCAACCTCTGGAATTCCATCCCCCAGTCACTCTGCCTCACCCTCTCCTTAGCCTCCTTCAAGTCCCACTTCAAGACCCTCCTCATCGACCATGCCATCGGCCACCCCCCTTCCCCTCCCCTCCCTTGCCCCCCCAACCCCAGCGTTGGGACGTCCTCCTAACGTGAAAGGCGCTATACAAATGTAATCTTGTTGTTGTATCACGTCTTTGAGGTGTTACAAAGCAGGTGTGTGATGAACAGAAAAATAACTGAATACTTGTATGTGTGTAGAAGTCATTTTTTCCTTAACTAGTTGATTTCTTTCATCCTTGGCCTTTTCTTTTAAAGAAACTATGTTCAGTCAGTATTAGCCCTGCTACACATTCTTGGATTGAGAGGGCAGGCAGTCAACATGCCCCAGGCATCTGTCAGTGCTATACAAGTAAGCTGATAAAAGATTTCTGTGGCAACATAGCCTCGACCTTTACCTCACTCTCCTGTAGTCTCTAACTTCACCTCAACCTATGGGGAAATATTCAGCTGCACATAAGTCTCCACCACCCCCTCTTCCCAATTAAAGATCCCTTGACACAATTTGAAAATAGAAGGAAGTTTCTCCCTATTGTCCTGGCCAACAATCCCTCAGATAAATTGGTCATTCATGTCATGGTTGTTTGTGCGACCTTTCTGCACACAAAATGGCTGCTGTTATTGCATATAGGATATAGACACTACAACCATTAGTACTTACCATGAAGTACTTCGACATGTTTTCACTAAAGATGCTGTAACAATCCAAGTTCTTCTTTAAGAGGCATAACAGGATTGATATCGTGTTCATTGATCAAGGCACAAACCCTCATCATCTTACGTAGACTGAAATGGCACAAGCAGTCCATACTGGTGTTTATGCTCCGCACAAGCTGCAAGTCCACCGAAACATTTCCCCTCTCTTTCATGTATGCATTAAGATATGTTAAGTGGAGTCCTGTAGCTCAGTGGTTAGAGCACCCGCCTCACAACCGAGAGACCTGGGTTCGATTCCCGTTAGGATGAAACGTTGGGCAAGTTTCCTTACTCCACACGCTTCTGTTTATCTAGCAGTAAGTTGGAACCCGGTTGTTAATCGATTGACAGATCATTTTTCCAGGGGTAATGAGTCCTTCAAAAAAAATAATAATAAATTGGTCACTCAATCCACGACTGTTTGTGGGACACTGCTGTGTGCAATTGGCAGCTGTGTTCGCCCACAAACTACACAGTAAATTTACTTTACAGTATATTCTGTGAAACTCTTTCAAACATCTTGAAGATGTGATAAGACGCTATATCAAATGCAATGATTATACTATTATAAATACACTGGCATATTCTATCAGCACTGCAAGATGCTATCCTGATTAAATGGCACTATCTAAATGCAAGGAGTTGTTGTATCCTGGCATAGCATATGTTATTATTCCTTACATTTGGATTAAGTATCTTTCATGTCAGGAGGGCATCTCAAAGCACTTCACAGGATATATTGTGAAGTGTCATATCTGTGTATTATGTAGGCAAAGGTAGCAGCCATTTTGCACACAGCGATATCCTGCAAAAAGCTATGAAGCGAATGGCCAATTTTATTGGAGGGGTTTAATGGCCAGGAGACCGGGAGAAACTCCCATCCCTTTACTAAGGATTATTAAACAAGTTTTTGGATCACGTACTGAATTTAAGATTTCCTCTTAAAAGTTGAATAGAAATACTCTTCCCCCTTCCATGTTCCCCTAGAAAACCTAGTCAGAATGAGCAAGCTTTCTGCAAGTTCACAACACGTTGATTAGATTGTATTCATTCATAAAGCACAAAGCTATTTTGGATATGAGAAACGAGGAGTGCAGCATAATGTCCCATTGTTTCTAATCAAAAATGTTACTTTGTGGTTGCCATGGCAGAGGGTCAGATCTGATTCCAGTCTAGGAGCGGAGTCTGAACATGGAGATGCTGCTCAACGAAATCATAGCTTACATTGCAAGTCACTTTAGTAGCAAACAAGAACAATATGCACCTCCAATAAATGTGCCCTCAGTCAGGGAGGATGGTAATGCTGGACTCTGTTATTCTCAAATGCTCTGCTTCCAATTCCAGGCTGCTGGGCTGGATAGCCGGCTTCCATGGACAATCCAGCAATGACTGGAGTGACATCAGGCCAGTGCTAGGAAAGACATTGTTCTCTGTACCAAGATTATCAAACATCACCTGCCTTGAATGGTTACAACCGAAGATTGATGGGGGAAGAGAAAACGCTTTTTTATTGGTTGGTATTGGGGAAGTCATGCCACTTAAAACACTTTAAGAATTCCTATCACACTTAATGCAATATTTTCTTTCACCTTCTTAAGATTCCGCTGTCCACCCATCCATCACTCCTGGATGAAGAGCTATTCCCTAACTCTGCTGTCCTAGAAGTTGATTAATATTACATAGCAGCTTTCCACTCCATCCCCTCGCCCCTTAGTCTATTGGAGAAAGGAAGAACCTCAACATGGCAAAATCCTCCCTGCAACCAATTCAAGCTGCTTCACACAATCCCAGTACTGCACTGCTTTTACCAACTATTTCCATAAAAATTTAAAGAATACAGAGGAGCCACGTAGCAAGGTGGTCAACTTGGCTCAGTGGTTGAGCGCGCTTACTTCTGGGTCAAAATGGTGTGAGTTCTGGCTCCATGTCAAAACTTAAACTCACAATGAAGGCTGACATTCTGGTGTGTAACTGGAGTGTACATTGCTGCATTGCCTGAGGAGCTGGCCTTCGGGTGATGTTAAACTGAGATCCCATCTGTTCCAGTGGATGTTCAAAGATACCATGACACTGTTCAATAAATTGGTTATTCACTCCTTGTGTGTAAAATGGCCACCGTGCTTGCTTACAAACATGAAATCGCTACACTTCACAGCAATTAACTGTGAAAGGTTTAAAGGCATTTTTCGCTATAACAATGCAAGGATTATTACTATATAAATGGCAGTGAAAGTAAACAGTGAAGCCGGAAGCTGGATTTCTACAGTTCTTAAACAGACCTATGGAAACTGCTTCCAAAATGTAAAAGTTTGGCAAAACTCTGCAAAAATTTAATTTTTGAGAAAAGTCTTAAGGCTAAAACCATGTGGATTTTCTGAAGGTCCTGATCTATGATGAGGTCCAATTCCTCGAGTTTAGTTTACCTTCTTACGTTACCCAAGTGACCATTGTTCAGAGCTTCAGACTTTACCCCTTGCTGCATAAATGCAAGTTGCTGTTGTTCTGTGAGCTCAGAGAGTGAGCATACTATTCAACCATCACAGCCGAGCCCTATCATTTCCTCACCTGGTGCCCCACACCCTCTCTTCACCCCATGCGCATACACTTTCTAACATGGATCACTGCTGATCAGGAATTCTGGCCTATCCCCCCACCCTCCCTCCCCGTCCCCCGAACAACCAACTCAGCACAAGCTAGGGATTGAATTTAGAGCCTTTCAGATATGCATGGTTCAAATTCACATTAGATACCGGCTTTATCAATTTTACTGTCAATGAAGTCAAGTGTGTTTTTTTTAAAAGATGTCCTTTTATTGGACTAGTAACATTTATTGTGAAAACTGGGAGTTTTTTTAGCAGAACAACAACAATTTAATTGCATCCTTCAAGTAACGTCTCTTATTACATAGACAGTGCTGTAGGCACAGTCAAAGAGTTGGGCTTTAGGTGGCCTTTGGAGATAAAAAGAGGCTGAGTGTTGGAATTCGAAAGAATGGGGCATAAGTGGCCATAGGCACAGCCGCTGATAATGAGGCAGAAGGAGCAGGAGATGCACAGCAGGTCCGAGTCCGCAAAGCAGAAGGGGAAAACGAGTCAGTAAAGCTGTAAAAACTTACAGAGGTAAGACATGAATCATTTTGTAGGCAAGAGCAAGGATTTAAGATGAGGTTTAAAGATGTTGACCAAAGGCACGTTTGAAGAAATGTTTTTGGGAGGATTTTGAAAGCAGGGAGAGGCAGCAGAGCAAAATTGTATTGGAAGAGTTCCAGAGAACAGGGGCGTTGATGGCTGAAAACTCATCCAAAGGGACTTAAAATAGATAAACAAAAATAAGAGTTAGAAGAGAAGACGGCACAGGCTGGAAAGACTGTCTAAACTGCTTTGG